AAATGAAAAATGCAACATATGCAATGTATCCTACAGGCTACTGCTAAGGCAGTGGTACCACATGTCGAAAAAAAAACAAACGAAACTGTAGTGTACAAGTCGTGTCGTAGCTACTCTGCGAACACCCTACTGGTCCAACGCTACTCTACGAACACCATACTGGTACCAAAATCATACACACCGAAAACAAAGGAAATATCATCTAATAAATTTGTAGCACGCTGCACGCACACAACCACTAAGAGCTTAACAACACTAAGACAAGACGAGACGACAAAAAAAACTAGAACCGCACAACGTGACAAACCGCAGTGCGAGCAGGGGAAAAAGGAGTGTTGGCCTCATCAGTCAACGACGCTTCTTCCCCTTCCCGCTCTGTCTCCTCGTACCCCCTCGCGTGCCGGATGTCGAACTCCTCCTCCCTCGTGCTGATGAAGAAGTCAACGCAGCGCGCCGTCTGGCTGCACGCATCGCTGGGGGAGGTGGGGGCTCGTGCTCATCGCCGTCGTAGTCACCATCTGAACCTCTCTCGCTCTCCTCCTCTCCCTCCTCCTCGCCCTCATAGTCCTCGTTCTCCTCCCGCACTGCCACATCTGTCTCAGGATCATCCTCCTCAATGGTGTCAGGGGCTCCTGCCTTCCTCAACACAACAACCCTCGCACTAGCCTCTGCAACCGTCTGCTCACGACGCGATCCACGAGGCATCCCCAACCTCTCTGCCCCCGAAGTCTCTCCAAGTGCATCTCCTCCCTGTGCGGGCACGGGGCGTGGACGAGGAGGCACTCCGCGCTTGCGTGGAGTCTGCTCAAGTACGGCACGCGTCGCTGCTCTCAGAGCGTGCTCCAAGCTATTGACGGACACTCCTCTGCCGCGACCTCGCTGAGGCTCACAACCTCATGCTGCCACCTCCCTTGCTGCGGTCATCCTGCCGCCGCGGGGTCCTAAACCCGGCTGTAGGCGTGCAGTGTACTCCGTGACACGGCGGGTGGAATCCAAATCTATGTCTGTCCTCCCGAAAAACGCTGTGTCACTCACGTCCCCCACATCGGCTATAGTGTCCCGAATCCTAGACCTCCCAAGCGTGTGTGGAGATCGAGAGCCTCTGCCTGTAGGCGACGATGATGGATCACCTACAGGTGGTTTAGGAGGAGGGGGTGGCATGTCTCGTGTACGTGGCGCCATCTCCATGACGCCACTTGAAACCCTTGGAACATCTCCCGCCGTACGTGCTCCGGTGGAGGTAGACCCAGACCACACCGGCGATGCAGGACCCCATGGAACTGGAGGGATCGCCTGCCATGCTGGATGCTGTAGCCTCTGGTCAAAGATTCGTCGGTCCAAGCGAGTCACATCGCGGACAGCCTCTCTCGCCAACTCGTCTGCATCCAAAGGACGACGGACCTCCTGCGGAGCAAAGTGACTAGGAAGACGCGGTGGCGCAACCACCGGCTCGGACCCCAAATTCGTGATAACGGGCGGCGGCACACCATGCACTGCCACCGGCACCGGCTGCGACTGTCGGCCCTGAGCCAAGTGCAGGCCCGAGAACGGAACGACTGGACCTGTCGCTGTCTCCTGGACCACACATCGTGCGTCACCCACACCCTCGTCTTGCCGCCGTCCTGCCTGCATAGCCTCATCCACCGCCTGTTGCAAGCCCTCCACATGAACATCCGCTACCTCTCGCCCACCCTGCACAGCCTCAGCGTCAGCTTGTGCTACCACTCTCTCCACAACGTCCTCCCCCACCACCACCCCCCCCCCCCCCCCCCCCCCCCCCCCCCCCCCCCCCCCCCCCCCCCCCCCCCCCCCCCCCCCCCCCCCCCCCCCCCCCCCCCCCCCCCCCCCCCCGCCCCCCCTGCCTCGACTGCCACCCCATCCACAACATCCTCCCCCGCAACCACCCAGTGACCCCACCCTCCACACAATCCCTCCCTGTCTCTCGACGCCTCGCATCCTCCAACGCCCGTGTGAACGCCTGTGCACGCGGGTTAGTCGATGCCATAAGTCGAACCCTCTCTCGCCCCATGATGTCTCGTGCCGCATCCGGAGACCCTGTCGTCGTCTCTCTCTGGGGCTGCGTGTGACTCTCTCCAGCCGCGTCGTCCCTCGATGGAGCACGATCCGTCGATGTCGCCCCGCCGCAACTAGGTGGAAGGCCCATCGACATATCTAAGTCCAGGTGGCCCCCCATCTGCGAATCCAAGATCCAAAACCCCCTCGCCACACCTGGAGTCATACCCGCCATGACAGGATCGTATTGCTCCGTGAGGAACTGCTGCATGAGGCGCTCGTCGCCGCCCCCACGCGACACCTCCGCCTGTGCCCCTATCTCCTCCTCCACTGCTCCTGGCACTCCCCCCTCCACTGCATCTGCTCCTCCAGCTGCTCCTGCTGCTCCAGCCATAAGCCCATCCAGTGCAGCTGCTCCTCCAGCTGCTTCTCCCGCTGCTCCTCCAGCTGCTCCCGCCTTCCCTTCCACTGCATCTGCTCCCCCTGGCGCTGGTGCCTCCTCCGCCAACACTGAAGCTGCCAGCTCCTCTAGCAATGAAGCCACTGCTGCTACAACTATCTGGTCCACCACACCTACAATCGTCGTGTCCGCCAATCCCCCCTCCACTGCCATCTCCCCCTCCACTGCTGCTGCCGACGGTCCCCCCTCCTCCTGCAAGACCCCCGGAGAAGGTGATCGTAACCTCAGCTGTCGGACTGCCCTGCCTCTTTGGAGTAGTCCGCGCTGAGGCAAAGAGGACGCCAACTCCTCCATGTCCTCGTCGGAGTGGGGCTTGGTCGACTCATATGGCGCGATGGGCGATGGCGGTGCAGGACTCGGAGCAGAAGGTGGTGGCACGGACAACTCCCGCCTTGTCGGAGTGGGGCTCGTCGCCCGTGCTCCTGTGCCGCCCGTGGAAGCGACCTCCTCGAACGGTCCCCACAACTCCTCTCCCCGCATCATCTCCCTCTCCGCCCTGTCCGCCGCCCGTCGTGCAGTATGCGCCCTGGTCTCCTCCTTACGATCCTCGTGCGTCTCGGCGATCTCACGGGGAATGCGGAGTGCGGGGTGGTCCGCTGCCTCGGGTACCGGCGCCTCGTCGGAATCATCCTCTCTGGGATAAGGACGGAAAATTCAAGCACGTCTACCGAATACGGCCTCAGCGGCTGGTGGTGCGGAGACCCCGATGGGATCCCGGGTGATAAGCGCAACCTGACAGGCAATCTCCTGTGGCGTCATCCCCCTGCGCGTGCCCGTGCGCACTGGCTCTAACTCCAGTCCTGCCTGGCGGTCTAGCATGCCCTCGTCCTGCTGCCATGGCAGCACACAACCGCACCCAGCCCGCCGATACTCCGACAACCGCACATTCGCGGTGATCTCAACGAGCTGAATGACCTTCTCAAAGGCTAACTGGTTGCGCTTCTTCGTGTGAATGCCCTCGTGGACTGCCCAGTTCCTCTCGGCTGGAGAGGCGCAAGACCACATGTGCATCACACGAAGAGCGCAACGCTGCAACTCAGGTGCGCCAGACCCGTACTGAGACCACCAGGACGCACACTCAATCGTCTCCCTATCGCCGCTGCAAGCACGCCCACGAGCACGCCTCTCCCCCCCTCCCCAATCCCCAAATGTGCCCTGCTGCATGTGGAAGTCCTTAAACTGCCGACATGCAATTAGGTACTCCATACCATCCTCCTCGAAACCCGTCTGCGTCAAAATGTACCTCTTGGCTTGCCTCACAAGCCAACGAGGGTAATCCCTCACCTCGCCCGAAAAGTACTCAACATGTCGCCTACGGGGGTTCAGTAAGAACCCCTCGCAGTGAGCAGGCTTCAGCATGTGCTGTGTGCGAGCCTGCACACGCCTGATGATGCGGTCAGCGAAAACCCTCCCCAAAGGAGCGCATGCATCAGTGACACGGCGGACAAGATCCTGTGTCTACTCGATCATGAGGGACATGTACTGCCCCCCACGATCCATCTGCCTAAGCAGCTCCATGACGGGCTGCATGATGTGGAGTACGGTGGCCATCGTGTGCCACCAAGGCTCCCATCTAATCTGCTGGCGCACCCAACGCGCCATGTCACACACATCGGCAGACCACGGTATAGAAGCAAACTCCCGCCCGTCATCCCCTCGCATCATCGCCTGCAGAGCGTCCTGCAGGGCCAACAGTCTCTCTAACATAGAATAAACAGACGCGAACCGCGTCTCGCAAGAAAGCGCACGCCCCTTGTTGGGGCTGCGCTTCCTAAAGAAATGAAGGGCGGCCTGGTGGGTTTTGAAAAACACCACCAGAACACGAGCGCGTGTAATCGCGTCCACAAACGCGTCGCAACTCGTCCCCATGTGTGACAACAATTTGTTGCAAACATGGACGAAACACGGAAGCCACGTGATCCTCTTGAGAGCAGGAGGGATGCCCGGCGAGGCCAATGCCCTGGCAGCCCCAACGTACACCGATGCGGAGTCTGTGCATCTCGCATTGACCCGCTGCCGGCCGCCGAAACTAAACTCGTGGAAGATGGTCACCTATCTCCAAAGGACGTGCACTGCATCGTCCGGCTCGCCCTCGCGATTGATCGTCGTGTACACGACAACCCCTCGCGACCCGGCGGCAAGGAAATTCACGATCGGTCTCGCGTCTCGTGATTACCTCCCGTCGGAGAGGAGGGTGGCACCAGTGATCCAGAATGGCTGCCTCACCTCCTCCAACTCCTACTCCAGCTCCTCACGGTGGGTCTCCACCGCCTGCATACTCGCAATCTCGTTGTGGCTGGGGAGCACAGCGCGTGGGGAACTGCCAGGCTGCTCAAGAAGGACCTGCTGGTATGCCTTCCAAGCCTGGTTGCGGAAGGCATTGAAGGGGACCCCGCTGGAATAGAGTCAGCGAAGGAATGCCTTCTTGTTGCGAGCAACCCACTCGCCACCGTAGACGTCAGTGACCTTCTGCTGGCGAGGCCTCTTCCCAGCTGGGGCAGCGGCCGGATCTGTTCCACCTTCCTTTCTCTTGGAAGAACCCTCCCCTACAGGTCACTTGGCTGCTCGCCTCAAAAAGTCCTCCATCCTCTCCCAAGTGCCTGGATAAACCTCAGGCACGTCCTCGTGTCCTGGGACTCCCTGCTCGCCCGGGACACGCGCCTCGCGATCGACGTCGATCGCGCCCTCCTCCGTGTCTCCACCTCCACCATCTCCCCCGACCCCTCCTGAC